CACTATGTAGACCAGGGTGGCCTTGAACTCACAAAGATCCACCTGCCTCTGCCTCCCAAGTGCTGGGACTAAAGATGTGTGCCACCACGCCCAGCCATTTGAGACAGGGTCTCCCTGTAGGCCCAGCTGTCCCGGAACTCACTATGTGGACCAGTGTAGACCAGGCTGGCCTTGAACTCACAGAGATCCACCTGCCTCTGCCTCCCGAGTGCTGGGATTAAAGGCGTGCGCCACCACGCCCGGCCCCAGTTAATATCTTAAGGGGATATATAGTATAGAGGAATCATTAACAGCTGCCACAAATAATACCTGTATCACAAGTATAGATGTCTGCTTCTCTCTCTCTGATTGCCAACTCCACTAAAAAAGTCTAATTAAATAACTGAAGGAAGGCTGAGTCCACTTCATTTATAAAACTGATCTTGAAAGTTACTAAGAATATATCAAATGACATGAGCTATTCACAGTTAATACTTATGGTAAAATCCTCATTTTAACAATAGAGCTGAAATAAGAATTATGAAAAGGCCTATCATTTTTACTAGTTTCCAGAAGTAAGAGATTTCATATACTCACCCCTTTATCTCCTCTTGCTTTAGAATTGAATTTTACGGTTTTTAATCGGGCTCGTTCTTTCTTCTCCACCCTGCCAAAGTACAGAAAGTTCTTTATTTTGGTGCTAAAGAATGAACCTTGGGCCTTGCACATATTAAACATATCTTCTATCACTAAGCCCTCACTCCTAGAATGTTTTTCTTTTTAAAGCTGGAGACTCACTAAGTTGTCCAAGCCTGATACGAATTCACGATCTAGCCTCAGCTTCCTGAAGAGCTGGGATTTATAAGTGTGCATCACTATTACTGACTAGAATGTTTTTCTCTAAAAAAAATGTATGTTCATTTGCAGGTGAGTGTGAATGTATGTACATGCGGAGGCCACAGGTCAACAATAGGTGTCGTTGTCATTCTCATATTCTTCCTTCTGCCCTCTGTCCCTTCTTCCCTCTCTCCCCTCCCCTCTCAAGGTGTCAACCACCAAGCCAAGCTACCTATTTTTTTAAAATACTTTATTTCATATTATATGTATATGTGCCTGTTGTTTGGGAATGTGCACATGTCTGTGGGTGCCTGGGAAGCCAGAGCTGGATCTCCCTAGAGCTTGAGTCACGGGCACACGCACTGTGGGTGCTCGGAGTTGAACTTGGGTTCTCTGTACGAGGGAGTACATGCTTCTAACCACTGAGTCATTTCTCCAAGCACTTGCCAATTTGGAAGATTGGGGCCAGTAAGCCCCAGGGATCCTCCTGTCTCTGCCTCCCCAGCACTGGGATTAAATGCATGCATTGCCCTGAACCTGACATTTTTATGAGGGTGCTAGGGATCAAGCCCAGGTCCTCACTCACACTTGTGAGACACTGTACCAACTGAGTCATCTCAGCAATCCCTAGAATGTTACATTAAAAAAATATTTTATTTACGTATGTATGTATGTATGTATGTATGTATGTATGTATGTATGTATGTATGTCTTTTTGAGACAGGGTCTCCCTGTAGCCCCAGCTGTCCTGGAACTATGTAGACCAGGCTGGCCTTGAACTCAGAGAGATCCTCCTGCTTCTGCCTCCCGAGTGCTGGGAATAAAGGCATGCGCCACCACGCCCGGCCCTTATTTATTATTTTTATTTTTTGTGTATGTGTGTACTGCCTGCATGTACGTAAGTGCACCCATGTCGTGCAATGCCCGCATTGGTCAAAAGAGGCCGTCGGATCCCCTGGGACTGGAGTTACAAACAGTTGTTAGCTGCCATGTGGGTGCTGGGATTCAAACCTGGGTCTTCTGGATGAACACTCAGTGTTCTTAACTGCTGAGCCATCTCTCCAGGCCCAGAATGTTACTTTTTAAGTAAGTCCAGTATAGTTAAGAGTCTTATTAGAAACCATCAGAACCAATATCTTTATAATGGGAATTTTAATACTCAAAGGTCTTTAAGAACCTGCTAGGTTTATATGTTAAATTAAAACTGGTTGACAAATGAAATATAGAGTGCATTTTACTATAAAACCTCTTATGAAGAACCAAACTATAGTATATATACTGAGTATACACTTAGATATGTACTCAGTTCCACCATAAATAACACTGAAAATATTGAGATATCATTTCTTCTTTAAAAATATTTTATTTATTATTTTTATTTTATGTGTACACATGTATTGCCTGCATGTAGGTAAGTGCACCCATGTTGTGCAATGCCTGTGGAGGACAGAAGAGACTGTCAGATCTCCTGGAACTGGAGTTATGGACAGTTGTTAGCTGCCATGTGGATGCTGGGATTCGAATCCAGGTCTCCTGCAAGAACAGTGTTCTTAACTGCTGTGCTCTCTCTCTAGCCCTGAGACATCATTTCTGAGTTCAGTAATTTTCCAGGTTTCTTTTAAAATACTAGATTAGCATAGCATATATATGATAAAAACTAAGCTTGAAGGAGAAAGTAAATACAGCACAATTCAAATTGTACTTTTCTATAGCTCTGAAACATAAAAAGAAATATGGTGGGAAAACCATTACGCTTAACTGCGATGATATATATGTGTAAATATATAAATAGCATACAAAGCAATAGTTTTAAAGTCCTTTTGGAAGGTTAAGAATTGGTCATATTCTTCCTTATCCTTTTAAAGGTAAAAGGTGTACTTTGGGAACAGATTAAGAGGTACCACTAGGGCTGGTAGAAAGTTGGTACCTTGTTAAAGGGTTATTTATGCCAGGCATGGTGGCTCATGTATATAACACCCACACTCAGAAAGCTGAGGCAGGAGGATTCCTGTGAGTTTGAGCTACAGAGTGATATCCTGTTTCTCCAACAAAGAAACAATACTACCACCACCAGCAACAAAAGGATTACCTATGCACTGGCTGAGGGTTCATGTAAAGCAGGCTACTAGGCTCCAAGAGATCTGGCCATTTAGGAGCTCTAACTTTGATATTTTAAGAAACGAAGTTTCTATCAAATCAAGAAGGCAGAGCATTTCTGAATTTAAACAGACTATATTCTAGTGTAGGAAAAAGTAATGCCAACGGCTGTATTGCTTAAAAAGAATCTCCTATTAAATACATGAAAGTACAGTAACTGCATGCTGCTAAGCATATAGATCTAGCCAGAACAGTCATTACAAATCTTGGCAACACCTTGATGCTACTACTTTTGGGCTGGTTAGTAGCTCGGTGGTCGAGTGCTTGCCTAGCATGCACAAAGCCCGGGCTCCATCCCTAGCACTGCAAATAAAATACAGTTTTGTTATTCCTTTGTACTTATGAGAAGAGAAACAGACACATGATTTGGTATATTTTTCAATTATAGTGAGTGACTTCAACAAAAGAAGTAGAAATCCAATTCATCAATAAACTTGATCTCGAATGAATTAACTAGCTAAAGTGAGTACTGACGTCACATTTGCTGGGTATCTTGAAATTTAAAAAGTTCTTACAAGTCTAGATTAAGTAAAGAAAAGAGATGTGAAGCATACTACTACATGATTTTTCTTTCTCCTTTCTTTGGGGGGACAGGAAGGATGGCACTAGGGATTCGACCCAGGCCTCATGCATGGTAGGTAAGCATTCTATTACTAAGCTATATCCCCAACCTTCAGCACTTGGGAGGCAGAGGCAGGTGGATCTCTGTGAGTTCAAGGCCAGCCAGGTCTACAAAGTGAGTTCCAGGACAGCTGGGGCTACAGGGAGACCCTGTCTCAAGAAGACCCAAAAAAAAAAAAAAAAAAAAAAAAAAAAAAAAATTAAAGACAGGATCTCACTAAATTATTGACCTTGAATTTACTCCGTAGCCCAAGCAGGCCTGATTTTCTTGCCTCAGCCTCTGAGGTAGCTGAGATTATAGGTTTATGTCACCACGGCCAGCAAAAGATTTCTTAGAAAAAAAAAAAAAGCATTTGCTTCTGTATATTAAAAGAGGCAACATACACAAGGAAAACGCGTAGCTTATGTTCTATTACCATCTGTATGGGAAACTATAGACAATTTGCATTTTCTCTCCCTCCACTGATATAGAAACATGGAAAAATAAATTAAGAGGTATTAAATTTGCTTTTGGAAACAAGTAGAAAATTCAAAGAAAATTCTATTTGGTTATGAGGTTATGAAGCACACCATGGAAAACAGAATCAGATCACTATTTCAGGAAAAGAAATTTATTCCATTCATTCAGTTTTCTTGAAGTTGACTTATTAATTCAGTAGTCGGGGTATTAAACTTGTTTTTAATTGTATTTAAGGTATACAGGCTGGGTATAGTGGTGCTGCACATATACATTTATGGTACTTTGGAGGTTATGGTAGTAAGGATTGAGAATTCAAGGTTAGTTTGGAATACATAGCAAGACCATAACTCAAAAAAACAAGAAGCCTGGGGAGATGGTTCAGTGGGTAAGTACTTGCTGAACAAGTGTGAGGACCTTAGTTCAGATGTCCAGAACCCATGTACAACAGGACCAGCTAGCCTGGTACACACAGCAGTGAAAGACAGAGACCCTGTCTCAGACAAGGTAGAGGACAAGATCTGAGGTACATGCATGCCATGGCATGTGTATATCTGCACTTCTATACACAAACATGCACACAGATTAAAAAAACAAATGGGGCCCTTCCATTTCCGCCGCTGTTCTAGGCTCCTGGTTTGGGCCCTGCGCCATTCCTGGTCTTGGGTCCCCAGACACCTGGGGAACTGGTGCTGCTTCCTGATCCTTTTTGCCCAGGCCAGCTTGGTGCCTTCCTTGGGCCCCAGGAGCACTGCTTCCTCGGGACCTGGCCCCGCCCTCACCTCTCCCTGCTTCCCGGACCTGCACCACTGGCTAACTCTCCTGACCAGCTCTCCCGCCCTCAGGCCTCTCTGGGGGTAAGTCTACCATGCAGTCCTCCACGCCTTGACTCCGCGCACCTTGACTTCGCCTGCCACGCTCACCCTTCCACCTCCCCGGCTGTTCTCTACTCCTAGCTTGGGCCCTGTACCATTCCTAGTCTTGGGGCCCCAGACACCTGGGGAGCCACTGCTGATTCCTCACCCTGTTCACCCCCACAGGCTTGGTGCCTTCCTTGGGCCCCAGGAGCACTGCCTCTAGACCCGGCCGCGCCCCCACCTCTCTCTGCTTCCTGATCCTGCAACACGTGCCAGCCTCTTTCTGGGGCTGACAGCCTCTTTCTGGGGCTCTGAGGCTTACCTTGCCTCTCCCTGATCCTTTGCATCCAGTACAACC